CATTGCTCGTACGCAAGTGCAAACTGAAGCTGAAGATTAAAACACATCTATGGGGGCCAGCGCGTGAACGTGGGGCCAGCCTACCTGAATTTGGAGAGAAACTCAAGAACCGATCAAGGAGAGACCAGATGGGCTCGGGGAGGGCATCAAGGGCAGCATCCGTGAAGAAAGCAAAGATCACTAAAAAGACAGGAAAGAAAGAAAAGACCAAAGTGGATGTCAGAAGAGACTCGGAAACTTGCTTTCCAACGTAGAGGACGAAAGTGAAAGAGGGAACAGTGAAGTTAACGATCTGCACAGAGCTGACAAAGGGCAGCTTGAGAAGACACAGTCTTGAATGATATGTGCAGGGACCTGGACTTAGAAACCCAAAAAGAAAGCATGCACTCGGCATTTCTCAAGCTGAAAGAACTGAAGGAAAATTCAAGTTGCAGGATTAAAGAATTCTATGGACAAAATACTGAACGATGCAGCAAGCATCAAAGGAAGACAGAAGGAATCCAGCGCCTCGGCACCAAAACAGAATCCAGCCCCTCAGTCATTTCAGGAGGGCGAGGGCCTTAAGAACGGGTGATATTAAAGGAAGAGACGCATGCTGCACTGGAGGGGCATCTGTGCTGATCTGGGCGGACAAGAGAAACAAGTGCACAGACACGCATGTGTATAGGAAGAGCTTTATCTACAAGAGCAACTGAATATTGAGAAAACATCCCAGTCCAGATCAAGTCCGTAAGTCCGATATTAGCCCATATGTCCGATACCAGTCTGTAAATTCCTCTTCAGACTCACACAACACATGCAATGATGCAGAATGCAGGAAGATCACAGGCCAGTGGGTGGAAAGTCTTGTGGATCTAGTGGCGGTGGAAGCATCTCAGTGTGGGCAGGGTTCTCCACCTGGCTCCTTCAGGTCCCAGGCTCTAGAGTAGCTCCATGTGTCTTCTCAACAGGAATGTCTTGCAGGGAGTGATTGTGTGTCCCTCCTCCAGCGAGCTTTTTATCCCGTTAGCGCCTCCAAATGGGATCATTAACCTGTGACCTGATTGACAGGCTAAACTCCACCCCTTCACTCTTAAGTATCAAACTGACAACAGATTGTGTAACTACCACAGCATTGGCGAAAAACCAAGGTTTTAGGAACCTAGACTAGACACCCCCCTGTGTGACCACCCCTCCTTAGGGAAAGCCCTATAGAGGTGGCTACCCTGACTGTCTCAGTCCCGTAATCCTTTTTCTCTATTTCAGGGTTGTGTCCCCAGCACCAAAACGGCTATCAAGTTTGCCACTAGCCTTCTTCTCGCCAAAGGGAGCCCTTCTTCTCGCTTCTTCACTTCCTTGACTTCTCAGCATCAACTGACCTGGTGAGCACGTTCTGAAATGCTGCCCTCGTCCGTTTCCAAGACCTCACCAGCTCAGTCTCTTCTGGTGACTCCTGGTTTCCACCTCGATCTCCCCGAGCACTGCCTTTGGCTTTCTCTTCCCCAGCTACACTCAGCACCTCGTCCCAGATGACCAACCACACACCAATGTCGTCACCTGGAGGAAAGTCGTCACCTAAAACAGAGTTCCCAAGTGCCACCATCATGCTTGCTGAAACAAAATTAGATGGCCCCTTGCACCCAAGGATAGGTAGCACCTCGGTAAGTAGCAACACCTTTTCTGTTGTTGTCACGGGCCATCGAGTCAGTTCTTAGTCACAGTGACCCCATGCACAAGAGAACGAGACACTGCCCCCGTCCTGTGCCAGCTCATGCCACCGCTATATTTGCGCCCTTTTCTCGGCCACTGCATCAGTCCAGGGTGACGGAGTGGGTTATGTGTTGGGCTGCTCGCCACAAGCCAGCAGCTCCAACCCACCAGCCAGAGAAAGAGGAGGCTTCCTGCTCCTGCAAAGAGTGACGGCCTCAGGAACCAAAGGGGCAGTTCTACTCTGTCCTGTAGGGCTACGGTGAGCCAGAGTGCGCCACCCCTTTCTGGATGGCTCACTGATCCAATCTGGCATCCTTTCCGATTCCTCATTCCCTCCGTTGTCCATCCAACCAGTGAGCGAGACTCATCTGCTCTGCTGCCCATCAGAGCGTTTACACCAACAAGTCTGAATATCCTTGCCGCCTCTGATCTTCATGGATGCTAGGTCTAAGGTCAGAAGCTAACATTCATAAGATAGCACTGGTTCCTAAAGAGTAACCCTTCCTATGACACCCCCCACCTACCCCCATGCAAACTAGACAGACTCCAGGGCTTTCAGATCACTCCTGGGTCACAGAGGGTTTGCATCTCGATCCTGTAGTGAAGTGTCCAGCCCCGGCTGGTCAAGGAAATGCCCGGCATGCTGTCCGAGGCCGCAGCTGGCCGCTTCCACCAGAGGGCAAGGCGCCACCCAATTTTCTCCTCCAAGCCTAGCGATGTCCTCCTTCCCCAGTGTGCTGAGTCTGGCCCAACAATGTCCCAAGGGTAGAAGTTGGGAGGGCAGGGAGACGGCCAGGTCTGCCAGGAGAATCTTGTCTCTGACGGATGGGAGTTCACCGCTGAGCGGTCACAAGGCACTTCTGTGGCTTCTGCAGAGACCACACCTGGCTCACCGACTGTAAGTTCAGGGGAGTCATTTCTTCTCACGGCAGCCAGTTCTGCAGGAGAAAAGTGGCACGGGGACCCTCTGGGGACCCTCCGTCCATCCCGGTCAGCCTCGGGGGTGCTCAGCCTCCCCCCAGCCCAATGGTGCAGGGCAGTCGCTCCTGAATCCAGTGGGAGAAATACCCGAGTTGACCTCAAAGGTCTGAGGGTGAGCTGGCCCTGTCTCCAAAGACTCCTCTTCTATGCCCCCAGCCCCCCACCCTCACCTCAGCTTCTGCTCCATCCACCTGCTCTTGCCACTTGGCTTTCCAGCTGTCCACTGTCCCCATGTCCCGGATGCCAGGGAGCATTCTGTGGAACTTGTGGGCCCAGCTTCTCAGTCCCAGGACAGACAATGCCCCGCCCCAGGGGGAGGGCCCTCTCTCCTCTTTGGCCCACCACACTGGCGGTTGTTTGGGTCCGTATTTCTCCATAGCCCTGCCCACTCTGAGGATGACGTGGGCCCCGGGGCCAAGGCTTGTCTATGTGTGTGTGTGTGTGTGTGTGTGTGTGTGTGTGAGAGAGAGAGAGAGAGAGAGAGAGAGAGAGAGAGAGAGAAAGCCAGACAACAGACCCTTTGGGATCCTGGCTGAAGCGCTGACACATTCACCCTGTGTTGGTGATGTGCAGGGACCCACAGGACTGTTGGAAGAGTACACCACTCTGTCTTGGACGAAGTACGGCCATGGTCATGGTCGTCCGAAGGGAGAATGGGGAGGGACTGTCTTGCTTCCCTTGGACCTGTTATCTAGAGAAGGTGTTCTTCTTGGTGGAGGGTCAGTGGAAATGAGGGAGACCCTCAAGGAGATGGACTGCCTCTGTAGCTACCACACCGAGCTCCAACACAGCAGCGCTCGTGAGGGCCAGCACCTGGCCGGCACAGTTAGCTCAGCTGGGATGTGCAGACAAGGCGGCTGGCCCAGCAGCTAGCTGCTTCCTGCCGCCCAGCCCACTGAGAGGGCAGAACAGAGTCTCTGTGCCCCCCTGTATGAGGGCTCTCCTACCCTCCAGTCTGAGTCCCCTGTGGCCTCCGCCAACCGGGTGGGCTCTAAGGGCTGTGTGAGCCTGGCCACGCAGCCTCTTGGCAGGGTGGGGGAGGGGCTCGCAAGAGCATGACCAGCTTGAAGCTATTTTTAGGGCCTGTCTTTGTGGAAATTGTTCCTTGATGGGCTGTGGGGGGAGGACAGCCAAGCTCCTCATCCCTGCCTTTGTCCCCAGTCTCTGTTCTCTTCAGCAGACAAAGCCTGGCGCCAGACACGACTCCCACTCCGAGCAGGGATTCTGGTTTGAAGAGCCCAGAGCCAGCTGCTTGAACTCCTCACGTGCTGCCGGCCAGCACGGTAGCGCTGCCCCAGCACTCAGTGAGCCCCTGGAGGACATCCACCTGTGGCCCCTGGACCTACAGGGAAGGTGCGAGGTACGGCCTTGTCTTTCTCCCCGGCCACACGCTGTCATGCCACCATTGCACAAAGAGCACAGACGCAGGGAGGGGGGCACAGAGCCCCGAGACCTGACCTCTGTGCACACCTGGACAACCTCCAGGTGACAGTACCTTATGCTGCAGGTTCACCGTCCCTAAGCCGAGCACACACTGGCTACCCAACATATGCCAGCCCACCAGCCACACCTTCCCAACAGACCTGCTTCAGACGCTGCCAAGAACACCTTTCTCCCCTCCCCCAAAGCTCCAAGCCACTTGGTTGGCCTCTTGCCCTGTGGTGGGCAGGCTTCAAGGACAACAGGAAGACTCAGTCTGTTCAGAAGTCAACGGGCCTGCCAGGCACCTCACAGAGGACCTCAAACCCAGCTCCATCGTGGTCACTTGGGGAGGGGCCTGCATCCCCGCGAGACTGGGGACCATCGAGGACACAGTCATGGCAGTATGAGGGAATCCTACAGGCCCGAGTTGTCTGGTACCTCAGCCCTAGTCAACCTACTACTGCGGAACAAGGAGGGGCCTACAGTGGACCAAAGGGCAGCTCAGTCCGTGCTAGCAGCTTGCCAGCCAGCAGCCAGCAGCCTGGGGCCCCTGGAGAGCCAGTGAGCGTCTCCACCCTTGGCTTCCTTATCTGCACAAGGGTTTCTTGAGAGGCCAGAACCAATGCCCCCACAGGGCTGGCCCCACAGGCCCGACCCAGAGCCGGCTGTAGGATGCCACCTTCCCCAGGGTGCGTTTCCTCTCTCCATCCCACAGTCCTCTGCTTCTCTCCTCTCAGGGGGAGCTGCCCTGGGTGCGTAGGGGATGGGAGGGTGGGGGGCGAGGTCAAGAACTGGGACGGCGACCGACAGGCTGCCGGCTGGACAGGTGCCTCCGTGGCCCCGGCCCTTGAGGAAAGCCGCAGGAGGGATGGCAGGTGCAGCCACTTGGCCGCAGGCCGGGTGCTCACATGGTAGAGAATGTCGGTCCAGCCCTCCATGGTGATGCACTGGAACACGGTCAGCACAGCAAACAGAATGTTGTCGAAGTTGGTGATGCCGAAATTGGGCCCTGCCCAGTACTCGCGGCACTCCGTGTCCCCCTCACACACCCGGGCAGGGGCTTCCCTGCCACAGGGGAAGTCTCCCACCGGCTCTGCATCTGTGGAGAGGAGAACCAAGCCTGGGCCAGAGCACAGACGCCTCTAGGGCCCACAGCCCAGACCAGACCCCAGAGTGTAGGCTTGCTGCGGGCTGGCAGGAGCTAGGCGCCCAAGGAAACTCCCTTGACCTCCCTCCCGGCAGCTCCTGGTGGGAGCCCTGCCCTCCCAGGGACTGAGGGACAACCTCTGCTCTCTACTGTAACCTTCATCCTAGCATGCTAGGACCCCTCCCTCTTCAGATGGAGAACAGCACCCTCCTGAGCCCACCTCTCTCTGCGCCTGCTCCCCCTGAATTCTCCTCTCATGGACCACCTGTCTGCCAGCCTCATTCTCCTGCCTGCGGATGGGGCTGCCACTGCCAGCCCAACGGTGTCCAGAGGGTGACCCCGCAGAGGGACTCTGCTTCGGCTGGCCCACGACCCACACAGGGTGGGAAGAAAAGGCCGGAAACCACGCTGACTTCTGGGCCCAGGTGACAAGCAGCACCCTGCTCCAGGACTTCACCAAAGGGGCAGAGGGACACTGATGACCAAACAACGGTGCTTTCCTAACAACACAGGCCAGCCCGGGTCACTCGGAGGAATCCTCCAGAACCCCCCGCCCCCCACCCCTACCTCCAAACATCTCAATAAGAAGCTAACGCGAAAAAGACTGGGAAAAAATACGTTAAAAAAAAAGACTGGGAGGTCTTAGTTTTTCTCCTATGGACAAGTGCCTTTCCGGTGAATAAGGGCAGGGTCGCGCCTCCAGCTTGTCTCAAGACACTGGCTGTGACCACACAAGCACCGGGCGGACAGAACCTGTGCTCCTTCCAGCTTCGGCTCAACTCTGAAGAGGACGCTGCTCAGGCCTCACAGTGAAGGCCGGTGTTTGTAGCAATGTTAGAGAGCTTGAGAAAAATTCGTCTTATTTTTAGCTTGGTGAAAATTTTCTTTTTGATCCTGAACGATTTCCACTTCCGTGTCCGTTTGTCAGAGTACACTGTGGAGCCCGTTCTGTGAGTTTTCCCCCTAAAACCTGGCGGCACCCTCATGCTGGCCCTCTCCCTGCACACTCCCGCTGGCAGCCCTGCTGGCTCCATCTAAAAAACGCATCTAGAACTTAGCCATTCTAACTCCCTCCACCACAACGCCCCGCGCAGCCCCTACCATCGCTCCCCAGGATTACCAGGCTCTGAACTGTGCCTGCTTCTGTCTTTGCCTCTCTCCTTTCGGTGTCCAGAAAACCCTGTCCTGTGTGCCAGGTGTGTGTGTCTGTGGGACCCCAGGCCCGAGAAGCCGCTATGCCAACCTGTGCTGTTGGGGAAACAGGCCTTGTGGAACTTGCCCATGTAGAACTCGAGGCCAATGATGGCAAACATGAGGATGGCGAAGAAGAGAAGCAGCCCGATCTGCAGCAGCGGGACCATGGCCTTCATGATGGACTTGAGCACCACCTGCAGGCCTGGACAGACAGGTGGGGCACGGTCAGCGAGCAGAGGGTGGGAGAGAGGGGGAGCGGAATGAGGACGGTGGAGAGGGGAGGGTGCCGGTCAGCATGTGAGGGTAGGGGCCCCGCTGTGAGCAGAGAGCCGGCTGCCAGTGTAGGCTCTGGCACAGCAGAGTGGACAAAGTTGGCACTCCTGACCAGGCCTGGGGGACGGGCTATGCAGAGTCTCAGTATGGGGAGGGCAAGGTGGGGGTTAGCCAAGCAGGAGGTCCAGAGGGGGCTTAGAGTGTGCCAAGCGCAGGGGGTCTCGGGAGAAAAAAGCAAGGGTCCAGAGGGGGAAGAGAAAGAAATTCTGGCACAGGGAATCATCAGATCCTGCAGGCCACAGCAGGGGGTCTTGGAGAGTGGGACAGAGCAGGAGACCCTGAGGAGAAGCATCAGGGAACCCAGAGAGGGAAGAGCAGGGATTCTGCGGTAAACGCAGACGACCCTAAACGGAAAGAGGAGGAGGTCGTGACGGGAAAGAAGGGGCAGATCAGGGGTCCTGAGGGGGAAGAGCAGGGATTCTGGGAGGGAACTCGGGGTGTTTAGGAACACAATTTCTTGGGAAAGTGAGGAAGAAATGCCCATCTCCCCGAGTGTAGTAACTTAATCACCACTGCCCCTCCTCCCCCAGACTGCCCTGGTTCTTGAATACTAGATGGACAGGATCCAGATCTTCCCCACAATGCCCCAGAGGACAAGACATGAGGTCTTACATAAGACTAGACCAAACTTCGACTTCACTGGACAGCCATGGCCCAGGGTGGTCCCTCCTGCCCTCCCTACGCGACTTGGGCTGCATGATCCAGGAGCGTGGCTGGAGGCTGGCTGCAGGGCCAGGAGCCTACGAACCACAAGCCCTTTGGTGTTTTCTCAGGCCTCTTGTCCCCTCTACCTTCGCCCATGCCTGGTCTCTTCTTCACCCTGGTGGGAAGATCAACAGCTGGCGATACAGCAGCATGAATGAGAGGAGAGAGACTTATGTCTCAGGAAGCCAAGTCAGAGGAAAGTGGAGTCACCTTCTGGGCCTTCTGGGAAAATGGGGCAGACTGGGAAATGGCTGCTCCTCCCTCCTCACCCAGAGAGCAAGAGCAGCAGGCTCAGAGCTCACCAAAGACAAAGAGCCCACTGCTTAGGGGCTTGACTGACCATGGTGTGTGTGTGTGTCTCCAGTGCTCAGGAGGGGGTGGGCCTGCTGGACTCACTCGGAATCCCAGACACCAGCTTCAGGGGCCTCAGCACACGCACAGCCCGCAGCGTCCGCAGGTCGAAGTCGGTGCCCGCCGTGGCCAAGATCCTGGCAGGAACAGGAGAGCAGGGAAGTAAGGGCTTCATCACCGAGCAAGGAGGAGACCCTGCCCCCTGCTCCCCCACGTGTGCTCTCCTCAGAGCAACGAGGTCATCCTTCCCAGTGCCCCACCGTCTCTGGGTCCCAGCCCAGGGCAGAGGGGTGCAACAGCAGAATGCAGACCTCACTGGAGCACGTGGGCAGTGGCATCTTACCCACATGGCCATCCCCAGTTCAAAGGCACTGCTGCTGAGAGGGCACTGAGCCCCTTGAAAGCTGTGAGTCTGTCCTCCCCTGACACCCCAGCCTGGCCCATGAACCCAAACCAACCCTAACTGCACGTCAAACGTCCTCCTAAGAAGGACGGTGAGCAGGGTCAGGAGCAGGACACCAGCTGGAGGGGTCCTGGACATTGCCACCAGTCTCAGGGGAACAAGGACACGGGAGGCAGGGAAAGTGGGGTCGAGAGTTCCAAGGACTGGGCCAGATCCCCCCGATCAGTCCCATCCCACGAACACAGACGGCGGGGCTTCCCATCTTCTAGAAAGAGCGCGTGCCTTTGCTGGCCTTTCCTACCATGGCCGGGAACCAAATGCCTGGGAAGACTATGCAGCTAGATGCCGGTGGCCCGTGGGGGACTGGATCACTGGTGACGCGTGCAGTCAATGTGTCTGCCAGCCTTCGTTAGCAGAACCGAGCAGATCAGGTGGAGGTAACGCTAGCTAGGGGGTGGGTCGGTTCTGTCATCCACCAGGCTTAAAATGAGTCACCCAGAAGTGAGCTCACGTCACCAAGAAGCAGAACAGAAGTGGAGCGCATCTTTGGGACCCAGGGTGCCTGCACTAAGAATTCTCTAGACCCAGGAAACAGAGAGAGAGAGAGAACGGTTAGCACGAGGGATGGTACAAGTTACAAGTGCAGCAGGCTCCCGCCCACTGGGCCGGACAGTTACAGCAAATCTGCCGACAGCCGAGCGGAAGCCGAGTACGTGCAGGCAAGAGCTTCCTGGCAGAGCGAGTGCCTTTGGTCACTCACCAGTGGAGTTGAAGAGCTGGCAAAAGCCAGCGCAGAGGGGCCCAGGGCTAAGGGAGAAGCCTGACTTCAGGCACCCCCAAGGAGCCGTCCTGATGGAAGAACTGTGTGCTGCACCCTTCCGGCCCCTGAGTTGTGCTGTGGCCTGGAAACTCCCTGATAAGCATGAGGACGGGCTGTAGGTTCTGTGTGGCGCCTGGGGACAGACTGGCAGAGACCGGGGAGGGCAGGGAGGCTGACCTCCACCTCGTCGGTGGACGTTGATGGCAATCCTCTCCCTCCCCCTCATGAAGTTAGATGAGGAGGTGAGATGATGCTGCCACCCTGCCATTGTACCACCTTAAAAACAAAGCAAAAGAAAAGAGAGCTCCTTTGACTCCCAGCAGCCCCCACCACAGCCTGCTCTCTGTGCCCCGCACATCAAAATGCCGGCGCCAGCACTCAGAGCTCTCCAGCCTTCGCCAACCACTCCTGCCAAGCCTTCTGCTGGTCAACTCTGAGGAGCAAACTGTGGTAGAGAGACTCCATCCCTACTCATCATGCTTGACCAGGGGACCACCGAGGCGCCCTGGTGGGGCAGTAGATACACGCTGGGCTGCTGACCACAAGGTCAGCCGTTGGAAACCCCCGACCACTCCAAGGGATAAAGAGGAGGCTGCCCGCTCTCAGAAAGATTTACAGACGAGGAATCCCATAACGGCAGTGCTATTCTGCCCCACGGAGCCCTGAGAGTCAGAACTGACCGGGTGGCAGTGGGCGAGGAGATCGCACAAGTGTTCTGTTAAGTGTCGGACAGTGAACACTCAGGCGTTGCAGATCACACTGACTCGGTGGCAACTACTCAGCTGTGCTGCAGAACTGGCCGGCAAGGCTGTAGATGTACGCAGGACTCTTTGCCAAGAGAACCAGTTACAAAAGCAGGCAGCGGCTGCCAGTCCTCGTGGTGCTCCCAAACCCACCAGCTGCTCCTCAGGAGAAAGAGGACGCTGTATCTGCTCCCATAAAGAAGACCCCCATGGGGTGACTGTGAGTTTGAGCAGACTCAGCGGCAGTGGATTAAAAAAGAGAAGTTATGAGGCTGGGTTTTTAAGATCTCATTGTATGCCATGGACAAGAGCCACACCTGCAATAAAATCTTACAGAAAAGTTGAAAATAAAGGGGATAAAGGATAAGTAAATACTATAGACAAAAAAGTTGGTATAATAATACTAAAGACAAACTAGAATTAACAATAAAAAGCACTAATAGGGCTAATATATAATTAAAAGGAAAACTATATCAAGAAATATGATGAGCGTTGGTTTTTTGACCCCAACTCATAACATATGTATGTGTGTGTTTGTGTGTGTGTGCAAGGATTCCTCTAACATAAAAGATTCTAATAAATTACTATCAGAATTAGAAAGACCAGACCAAAATCTCACAATGGCCCAATCTCTCTGTCTGTCACGACTAGCCATCTACCAAATAATGCTCTTATAAACAGAGGATATCCATTTTTGGAAGTACACAGGAATATCTTTGAGAATTGGCACATCTTTGGTGACAAAGACAGAAGGCTTCAAGAAGAGCACGCGTTATTTTCCTTCTGCGCTAGATTAGGGGCCGCCAATAAAGCCACGCTGACCAAGAAGAGCCGCCCGCTTTTGTGCGCACACAAAATGGAGCTGCACACTCGGCAGCTCGTGGGTCTCCTTGGAAGCACGGTGGAGACTGTCCACCAGCTAGAAGGTGATGCTTCGGACAAGGCCGCTTTGTAGAAGACTCAGTGCTTCGGTGAAGATGAAGGAACAGCGGGAGGGCGTCAGGGACTGACTGGGTGAAGGGAGGGTGGAGGGCCTCAGGAAGGTGGGGAGAAATCAGGGAGGGAGAGGGGCAGTTCCTGGGGTGGAGCTGAGGACTGATTTGAAGTGCTGAGTGTAGAGTTGATGCTCTGAAATGTCAACCCCCACCTAATTCACAATAATAAAATGAATCATTAAAAAATAAAAATAAAGCATTGAAATTCCCAATAAGCCTTTTTTTAAAAAAGGAAAAATAAGTTCACACAGCAGAAAAACAGAAACAAAAGTAGAAGTTATTTAAATAAAAATAGAGAAGCAAGAGAAAACTAATTCTTTGAGAGGCCAATAATTTTGAGCAAGGCTTTGGCAAGAACAGTCAAGAGTGCACACGCGTATGCACACTCCTATACGCACACACACTTGCAAACACATGCACGTGGAACTTTTACAGAAGTAAAAAGAGCACATGACAAGCAAGAACGATTTTTAAAATCCAGGAGAAGAGTGTCAGCAGTTTATGCCGACCCATGTTCCCATGTGGGTGAGCTCCATAGACCCCCAAGACACAAACAGCCAAAAGCAGCCCAAGGGGGGAAATGCTTGAATAAACCATAATCCATTTTGTAAGATTCCTATTTCTGTGTAGAAACCACCATTTAGCTACTTGAAATAGCACCCACGTTGCACAATTCTTTTGAATATACTCAAACCATTGAATTGTATGGCATGCGAATTATATGTCAATAAAACTGTCCAAAAAAAAGTAGCATCCATTTATTAACTCCCAGATCTAGAGGTCAGAAGTCAATGAAGTTGTTATAAAAATATTGTTTACAAAGGCAACAGAATCTGAACAAGAAAAAGTCCAACAACCAATGAGCACACCCGAGATGACAGGAGTGATGTAAGGGCAGGAGAACAATGAAGGGAAGAGGGGGCCTGAGGGAGATGAAACAATTGAACATCACGCTGATGTCCCTCTTCCTCAAAGTAATCTCCTAATTCGATGGCATCTCAATCACACCTGCACAGAGTCGGCAGAACCTGACAGATCCATCCGTAAATCTGTACAGAAGAGCAGGGGCAAAAAATAGCTGAATTACTTTAAAGAAGAAATTGAGAGAGGAGTCCTCGGTTTAGTTTTAAAAGTTTGTTGTAAAGCTATACCAGGGAATACTCTAGATTATCAGGCCTGGACAGATAAGGAACCGAAATCTGATGAAGTGGCAGTCAGGGAATGAGGCTGGGGAGCCACGGTTCCCTGACACAGTCCACATGTGCCACAAACCATATCCACCGCCATCGAGTGACCCTCCAGGGCAGAACATGCTCCTTAGGGTTTCCAAGCCTATAACTACTTACAGAAGCAGACAGCCTCATCTTCTTCCCACAGAGTGTTTAGTGGGTTTGAACTACTGACATGCAAGCTAGCAGCACAATGCTCAGCCGGCCCCACCAGGGCTCCGTCAGAAACTGTAAAGCTTCGGAAAGAAAAGCCAGGAGACCAGCTCTGACTGGGAGAGCGAAGGAGAGATTTCCAAATAAGACACATAAATGCACACAATAGAGCAACAGATTTGATACATCGTACCTTAGAATTTAAACTGTATCGCAAAAGATTGGGAAAAGGGAAAGAAAAAAAAACAAACCTTCTTGTAAGGTATTTAACGACAAAGAATTGGTCTCCAGGAGATACACAGAATTCCTGCACATCAATAGGGAAAACTTCAACAGCTGGTCTGCAGAGTCAGTTTGGGAAGAGAACCTGAGCACAGGAGGGCTGAGAGAGCACTCTGCTCCTTTCAATGAATTTCCAAACAAATTCCCCGGGGCCAAGGAAGACCACTCTAACCACCGACTAGCCAGCTTATACAGACACATGGGCTAGTCTCAGGTGAGGGCAGTTTACTGCGTGTACTGCTGAAAAACTGAACCAGCCCCACTGCTCACCACAAAACTCAACCAGCCGGGCCTTCAAGTCAATCCCCACTCGCAGCATCCCTAAGGGACTAAGGGACGGGGTGGGGCTGCGCTCCGAGGACTGACTGTAATCTACAGGACAACTGCCCTTGTGGGTTTCTGAGGCCGCGTTTCTTTCCAGGAATAGAAAGCCTAATCTTTCTCCTGGGGGTGGCTAGTGGGTTTGAACCACTGACTGAGCAGCTGCTCATCACATGAAAGGGACACTTTCA